GTTCTAGTTCTAATCTATATCTAGATTTTCTGAGTTTTTTTTCTTTAGGCATTGTCAAGATCTAGACTAGGTTCTAAAACTATTCTTCTTCAGTATTACCATTTTCCGTATTCTTTAATTAGACAAAGTGCCACCAAGTAATTGATATGAAGTAAAGAAACATGTTGTAGTTGTGCGTAATACGTATAAATAGTAGATCTAGATCTCTACCTGCACTGGTTGTTTCAAAAGCTAGTCTCGGAACAACGTCTTATAAACAAAAACATTAAATATGGCAGATATGATAAGAAGACCTGATGCGATGCAATCTTCTCCGCGATCTAGTCCTAGAGATCGTGGTTCTAGATCGCCGGCATATCCACGACAAGATTCTTCAGGAACTTTAAAAACTACAATAAGCCTTGCACCTGGCAAGACTCCAGCAGTTATTCATACTGGGTCATTTTATTTAGTAAAAGACATTCCGGGTAATAACTAGATTCTAGATCTATCTGATCATGATCTATCTGCTAAATAAGTATAAGTTTACTCAAGACAGACTCTGACAGAGTCATACTGGCTCATAGACTCATATATATATATATATATTATAACTCATAGTCATTGATCTAGATGTAGGTCTATAGAGTAAAAGTTTACTTGTTATAACAAAGTTTAATTTGAACTGTGTGTCTGAAGCCTAGTAGAGGCTAGTTGAACAACTTTTGACTTGAAGTTAACTTCATAAGTGACATATATGGTAGATTCTTATAACTGAACACTGACTTTCCGGAACTACGTCAATTTTTTATTTTGTGAAGGTTTAACTTACAAAAAAACTGAAAGCAGAATTATATTCTTTAACTAAAGGACAATAAAAATAGATGTGTTCCTTTGTATTACCACCCATAGTCAAGATTTTATTTTAAAATAAATTGGGTCACTTCATGCTCCTATTTTGAACGCAGTTTTTGAGCTTTCTCCTTTAGTTGAACAGTGAGCACAAGTGTTGAACACCACTATGTAATTGCTAATAAATTATATCTGTGTTACTTAAAAATTATTTAGATTGTAGTAAAAGAAGTAGATTCATTTTTGCAATATTTATAGTCTATTTCCTCATATACTCTCTCTCTATATATATATATCGTAAATAGTTTATTTATTTAAATACTATATAATCTATGTAAAGAAACAGACAGAAATAAATTTATATAGATTATAGAGCTATAAATTAATTATTTTAATTTAATAAACATGATATTTTCTACTAGGCTACTTGTGTTTTCTCTCTGTCTTTCTTTTAACTCCCATCCTAGGACCCTCTTCTTGTTTTCATCATTTGGATGTTCATTTTGTGTTACCTTAACATCCCCTCCATCCCATAGATGCTTATAATTCTTTTCATGACTCTCTCCCCCTTCCTTCCACTGACTGTTGGATAGTTTGTGACACTACCTCTCCTCACCGCCAGCTTATCTTGCATGCTCACATGCAGTGGGCATGGTCTCTGGCTTCAAATTAGTAGCCCGCACTTTTTCTTTCATTCATAAGTTATGTATTCTAGATATCTCGATCTAGGTCATGTTTATTCATTGAAAAAAATCATAGATTTATTAATCCCAATAATATTTCTTATTACGATTTTGCTGTGTTCAAAAAGGAGAATGAGCTGAATTCATTATTATTTGTTTGGACACCCCCTTTTTAAATTTTTTTTAACAGCTAAAATGGTATAAATGTGATTGGAATGTCTTTCTAAAGATGTTTGGAAGCTTATTTTGATATGCCCATCAGCTTACTATCAAACAGGCTCATAATATAGCCTTCATCCCTTATATGGGTATGAATTGCCGGAGGAGGTTAAAACAACAGCTTTACATACATGGTTACCAAGAATCTAAATAACTGCCATCTGCTTTGGAAAAACGGAAGAAAATTACCGGAACTTATCTAAAATTGGACATGCGCAGTCACGAAACGTCGTTTTTAGCTCCAAACATAATAACAAATGAATTACAAACAAAAAAAAGCGATCCGTTCAGAAAGGAGAATTCGATGGAGTGTTCAAAATATAAGAACCTCTAAGATTTTTTTATTTATTTTTTTATTATTATTATAAAATTTTATAATTTAATAGTCACAAGATATGAATTTTACAAATGCATTTTTTTGCTTTTAACACAAAAGTAAATTCACATAGATCTAGTAAGGATAAAGCACTCTATAGATCTAGATCTAAAGTAAATTATATAGATTCTACTATACTATAGACTTTACTCCTTACTAAAATTTTGTTTTATATATGTATCAGTATATTATTTCTCAATATTGCAGATGAAGCAGAAATAACTGGCAGTACCAACTTATTGAACTACTACAATTTAGAACATTCATACAACAGATTTTTAAATAAAAAAGTGAAAGAAGAACTCAGCGCTTTTCTTCCGCATCTTCCTGGTAATATAGACTCACCCGGAATACAGGATAACAGGTTTGTCTGAATAACCACTTTTAATTTTCAAGACTTGTAACTAAGAATGTAAATAGGTTTTATGTTTTGTTGTTGTGATCATGATTCATAGCTAAACCGCCAATTGGATGTTTAAAGTTTCTTACCTCTGTTCATAACTAATTTTTTATAAAGGTCTCATGTAGCTTGCATTGCATCTACAGCCTCTACTTTCCACAAATGTCAGATAACTATTAGCACTAGATGAACTCAGGGTTACCTTAAGATCTCAAAGTAAGAAGTCCCAACCTTCACTAAGATTTAAATTTATGACTCTTCCTTCATATTGTATGCAAATGGCTTTACAAATGGGATTCGCATCCTATTATCCTCCTTCATTATGTTTGTTGTTTGTCCATCATGATCACTGAAGACAGCTACTTTTATCTAAGAGGACTGATGGCTTAGCACTGCATTTCTATGCCTCCAAATATGATTGGTGATAAGGCCATTGGAACCAGGATTGTTTATCTACAAAGTGAGCGTGCTTTGTAACTGGTCCCAATATGCATAGCCATTTCTTTCAGCTTTGTCCCTTTTTTCTTCTACATTTTAATAATGCGAATGTTAACAATGTTTTTTCCATTAAAAGTAAACTTTTTGGTATTTTGTTTATAGCTCTTTAAAATGACTTATTAAATATTCTTTTTTCCAGTGATAACTATTGAACTTAAAAGATAGACATTTTTCTTAAATATATGTACCAGGCTGTGTAATAATACAAACTATAGTTTCAACTAGCTTGTGAGATACAAGAACTGTAAATATTATATTTTTATTTTCTAAATTTACCAAAGCTGCTAAATTACTTTTTTATTTTGTGTCCATAATAATAAATACTTATTCTTTTAAGTTCAGGAAATCCATTCCATGTTACAAGTATTGAATTTTCATGGAGGAAAGAGCATCTGCTTATTGTACATTTTGCATTAAAAAAAATAATTTTTTTTTAATTGTGTAATTAATTCTAATTCTAATTAATTTTTTAAATTCTTTTTACTAGTTCTTTAAGATCACTTATAGAAAAAACACCAATCACTGGAAAAGAGTTGACTCAACTCTCAGGCTCAGCACTGTCAGGATTTAGATTACATCCTGGTCCTGTAAGTTGTTGTTTTTTAATATGACATAAAATATATATCAAGTTGTTTTTAGAATTTTAAATTTTATTTTAAATTTAAAAACTCCCTGAGAAAAACAAGAATGGTAAAAAAAAAATTGAAAACTGAAACTTAATAGAGGAAAAAAATTCTGTCAAAGTAATATTACTATGTTGACAGCTGTTTAATTTTTTTTTCCCAAAAATGCTTAAAATTCTATTGAGTGTTAAAAATTAGACATGAGTAAGCCGGGTAACTGGCATTAATTTGTGATTCCACCTGTTATTTATCAGCATTTCTGAAATATGAAAAACTTATGTATTTAAATATTACTTACAATATAGCTTCCAGAACAGTATCAACTTATGAATCAAATGACACAAAAGAAGAAAAGGCACAAAAAGAAAATTAAAGATTCAGAAAAAGGAAGCACTTTACAGTTATCTCAGAGTAAGTAATTTTTTGTTTGAATTTTTTTTTTTTTAATTTAAAAAAAAAAAAATAATACCATTGAATCTGTCTTACTATGCTCAAGTGTTATGTTTAAAAAAAACAACTAATGTAACAAATTTGTTTGTAGGCTGTCCCATTTTTTGTTTAGATAGCATCATGTATAACACGTAACATAGAATAATAGAAATCTTGCAAGTACAATTATGTTTACGTAGGTCAAAGTCATAGTTACTATTTATAAATTGGAAGATTACAATTTTACGGCTTTGAAGCATCCAATGCTAATTTGACAGCAGACAGTGCAACAGGTGAGCCAGAGACTAAGAAAACCAAAAGACCAAAAAAAGAAGATGACCAAAAAGATTCAAAGAAAAAGAGAAAGAAAGACAAGAAAAAAAAGAAGGTATTTTTAGACAAGTTTATCTTCTTTTCACAAGTGTAAATATAATTACAAAGTTCATTACGCTCACATAGGTCTTTCCATTGTGTCTGCACTGGACACATAAACAAACAAACCCTGCAAAAATGTACCAGAGACACTCATATAGTTAATTTCAATCCTTTACCATTATTTCAGTTTCTTTTTTCTCAATTCATTGTTTACTTGTAATTTTCTAGGTTTATAATTGTTCAGTTCAAACAATTTAACCTTATATTCTAATATCAGAACAATAAGATTTTGTAAAAAAAAAAATATATTAATATTAAGTTGCTTTGGTATGTTTTATTTTCATTTACAGAAGCATAGCCCAGAACCAACAGCAGCAAATGGTACAGATGTAACAACATGAAATATATTTGTTGCATGTAAATTGTGTATATATACTTGTTTTTTTTATTCAAATAACTTTTGTAATAAATTTGTATGTAGGATAGTTTACAGGTGAACTATGTTTTGATTTTTTAGCTGTTAAGTAAAGTCAACTGAAATGTAAAAAAAAAAAAAAATTACTATGAACTTAATCTTTTTTTTTTTTAATATATATATCTTTATTTTGCATTTATATTCTTTCTCACAATTTCAAGAATATGTTAACAAAGATTATTCTTTTTTGCATTAGTTTAATTGTGAAAATTTATGTAAAACTATAACCAGTATGACATAAATACTTAACATCTAATTTCCAAATTTTGTCATATTGAACGGCCAGCAGTCTTTGTTGATATCTTCTCAGCATCTCCCTTGTAGATATATCAATTGTAAAAAAGATGTCTTTCTTCCAAATTTTTCACAGTTATCTTTAAAAGAGACTTTTGCATTTTTTTTGTTTCCAGGTTAATACAAGTTATGAAGTCTTTGTTCTTATGTAGAACATGATCCGTATGCCTAACCTGTTTGTTTATTGGGGGTCATTTATCTTTGCTGTGTCTTTTAAGTTACTGTATGTGGTAGAAAGAAAGTAAATTTATGCAGTGCTGTAATGACAATCTTGTAATGGTGTTATAGTTGTTCAGTCATCCTGCTAAATTATTACTCATATTTGTTTTTTAATACATACTTTTTGTTACTCTATAAATAGTATAATACCCACAACTAACCCAAAAGCTACCACTCCCAGAGTTTGCATCAACTGGCTGTATGTATGCTGCTAAATCAACAAGAACTACCAGGTCAAGCCTACTACATTGATGAAAAGTATGAGTTCTACACAGTATATGATATGTCACTTTAAGAAGTAGTGCAACGAAAAGAGTCATTCATAGTTGTAAATATTAAAGAGTAGTTAACAGTATTGTTGTGTTAGTAAATTAATTTGTGATGTGTATTGTTACTCATTATGAAAAGATGAGTCAAAGAATTTAATGTCTTTTAAAAATACATTTTTGAAAAAAAAAAGTACAAAAAAAAAAACAACAAATGGTCAACAGATCTGTAACAAAGAAAAAAGGTGCTAGATGATAAATATTCTTTTATTTTAAGCTTTGTTGACAATCATTTGAATTATCCTTAGCTTTGTCCTCTTCTTCAAATGTCTTCAGTAATGCTAAGTCAAGTTCATTAAACTTCTGCTGTAAATGAGCTGGAACCTCCACTTGGTGTAAATCCTCCATGCCTTGCTCTGGCTCATCAGATATGAGGAGTTCACACAGATTTTGACATGCCAGTTTAGCTTTTGGGTCTTTCTCCCATTTGTGAAGTTCTCTTAGTATGACATAGGCATTTTTTTCTTTGATAAACAAGCGTCCACATTTGGTGGAACAAAGCTAAACAGAATAAAAAAAGATTTTTAATAGAATTGATGCTTTCATTATTTTTCATAATTTGTTGTTTTTAAAGCTGTTGATGTAAAAAAAAAAAAAAATACAAAGAATATGTTTGAAATACATAATAGCATTTTTTTTCTCTTTAATGCTGTAATAAGTTAGGCATTAGTGGTTTACGTGCAAAATGTAAATAAATTTTGTTGTATAAATGGTCAGCATAGCCGATACATGAATTATATGGAAAGAATTTGTCGTCAAACATGTTGATGAGCACATGAAAAAGTTCAAGGATACTACAGTTCAGTTTGCTAAGTTTAGGCAAGATGGTTAATATTGCATGGTTGTTAGTCTATGTTTCAATATTAAAGCTATCCTAAACGATTCTAGTGATATGTTATTTTTTATTTATGTTATTGTTTCTAAGTTTAATTCTAAGTCACTTACTATAACTACTGAATAGTTAGGCTCATTTTTTTAACCATGATAATTTTAAATTGTATTAAAGGAATAAAATAATACAATGTACTCTTACAATTCTTTTTAAGAGTCAAAGCAATAATACTAATTGATAATGCAAAGGAAAGTGCTCTCTTTAACTATATGTACTCCACCATTCTATTTCATCACATAGTTACCTCTGTTCAGCCCAAATAGCTGGAATGAACTACACAATTGCTAAAAACAAAACACAAAGTTTTCAGGAAACAAAACCATTGTATTTATTTAAAAGCTCAGTATCAAACAACTTAAGAAATGGCCTTTGCCCATTTATAGAATATGTGACTGATATCTTAAAAAAATTTAAATAGAAGGTCATCCATTTCTATACTGCTCTGTTTGCATTTTAGTTTAACCAGTCACTATCTTTGGCCTATCTAGCAACGTGTATAACCCTATTACTTATGTGAAAATATTTACCTGCATTATAGACTCAATCAACATAGTCCTGAGGTCAGGGTCCGACTCCCTTTTTTTGTCTGGTGGAAGATATTGAAGATCAATTGGCAGCTTGTCCATGTCATCTTCATCTAGTTCCTCTCCTCCAGCTAGAGGCAGTAGCAGTCTTGTCAGTAAGTCAACGTCTTCACTAAGAAGCCATTGGTGATAATCTGCAATAAAATATTATCCTCTTAAAAAACATTTTGTCAAGATCTAAATACATTTCTAATGGTGCCAGAAGACACAAAAATTCCAGTAATCTCCATTCAAATTTTGACAAAAATGGTAGCATTTCCTTTTCCAGCGTGGTAGGTGTTTATAAAATATATGGAATGAGAATTGAATGTCAGAAAGTTAGAGCCATCTATCAGACAGGAAATATGGCACAAATAACAAGACAATAATCTACAATTTATACAGTTAGAACATTCTTGGTGTAAAGAGTGATAAAAACACAACTGACTGCTGCAGACTTGTTAAAATTGGACTCTGGAAAAGGATTATAATAGGCAAACAAGATATAAATCACCTTAAAGGATTTCCCTCAGAGCAGAGTTCCAGAGATATGAAAACCACCAAGACTAAGCTTCCATGACAATAAATAAATATAATATTAAAACAAATTTTTCTTACATATTACAATTAATTCAAAAGTTGTCTAAAGTAGTAACATGTATGTTTATGTATCCACAGATATTTAAGAATATATATTATATAATAATAAATGCAAATTTTAACTTAAAATAGCCTACCATATTCAAAGCAGCAGTTTTTTAAAGTTCCTAAGATGCCACCTCTACGTGTCAAAGAATCAGCATACTCTGTAAAAGGTAATAGCTTTTGTATTATTCTTTTTTCTTTGTCCATTATTATTTTACGTATTTCTGAAACTTGAGTTAGATTTGACAAAATAAGTCCCAAATAATGGAGTGCTGCATGTTTGTTATAATTTATTTGACACAAAACAGATACTATCTTTTCAATAGTAACTTTTGAATTATCTGCAAGCACCTGCTCTGCTAAATGTTTAGCACAAGATGGTATTCTAGTGACATTGGAAACAATACTACAAGCCTCATCAGCAAATTTAAAGTCAGGTTGTAGAATTTTTTGTAGCAAGTCCATTATAAATGTGGATGTAGCATCATTGTGCATAAGTTTCCAGGATATTGTATCTTCTGAAGACAGATTGATAAGTGTGAGAAAAGCGTCCTTAGCAGCATCCAGCTGAGTGTCTGTAGTTAGTGAAATTATGGCTGGGATAAATGTGTTTCCTTCTGCAATGAAGTCTCGTCCTTCTTTCGAACCCGTCATTTCCAAAAAATATCGAACAGCAATTGATTTAACGTCGGGTCGCGCGGATGGCGTCAGAAATGGAAGCATTTCTTTTTCTAGAAGTAGCTTGGTTGTCTGGTCTAGGGCCATGGTAGGTGATGATTTTATTAAAACAATGTTAAATACCTCTATTAATTTTACATGAAAAAAAAATAGTAACGTGCTTTTGTTTACGTCGCCATTTTTTATTTTACCTATAGCGTCCCTACTTTTTTATGCAGCCTCATTTTCGTATTTATATTTTATTTGCCTTAAATACTTTTTTTTAAACACAATAGTATATATAAATAAAATTTAAACATAAAAAATACAGCTCTAGTTTTACCAGTATACTGAGTATAGTTATAGTTTGGGGAAACTTGTGTCATGCCTAGCTCTCAATTTGGGAAACCACTCTAAATTACCTTTTAATAAACAGATGCATTTTTCTATACTTTTAAGTCATAAGATTTTAATAATTTACATACATGTGCAGATTTACAAATCGAAGACGGTGCCAGTGTCTTAGTATGACCACCAAAACTCCCCTACAACTCTATAAATATTTACTTCGAGTCGTTAAAAAACTTCCACCTGACGCACAACCCTATTATAAGCACCATATAAAGCAGGTTGGTTATTTCTAGATTCTAGACACAACTCGACCTAACTCCTAAGAGTAAAAAAAAGGCAAGATCCTGTTTCAGTTCATTTATTTACATCTCTAGGCAGCCATATTGGTGCAGGCCAGATTTTTATTGCGTTGTCTAGCTGTTGGATCAAGACTAAAAGAAATATTTCTAAGGGGGGATAACCTAGTTGATTTTTAATACAGTGAGCTAAAACATGTTAGGAAGAGAGAGAAAATAAAACAAATAGAATTAATAGGAATATATGCTATATTGTTTGAAGTATTAAAAAAAGGGGGGGGGGGGGTATACATTAATATTCTTAAATTAGAATGACAGTAATAACACGAAAAAGCGTAAATCTAGGTACCGATTTTTTATGCTATAAAAATTGAATTTAAATAGATATGATGGGATTATTGTATAGATGAATATGATACATTTTAAATGTTTAGATAACGATTTAAGGTGCTGACAACTTGTAATATTTTTTAACAAAGTTGAAATAATTGTTGTGTTTTACGTGGCTTGTTGCATAGTATCTAGAACACGCTATACACAGCTTATGTCCTTATAGAAAAGAATGTCATAAATATTTATTAACTTTGATAGATATATACCAGGTACAATGACTGTCTGTAATCTAGCCTCTAGACTAGAGTCACTGAAGCTGAAATGGGTGAAACTGCGGGAGCGGGCCGGCGGGGGGGGGAGAAGATGGGGCTGAAAGAGGTGGGTGACCGTGTACAGGCCCAGGCTCTCAGATTCATTTGCGGCTACCTATAGAATGAGCCCAACTTCCGCTGCAGAAATCGTGTCCAACGTGGCTCCTCTCAGCCTGAGGAGAGAGCGCGCCGTGCTAACGGCCCTGGAACGCTACCAAAGGGGCGAACCAGGGCTCCCGACCCATACATTAGTCACTCAGTGGAGAGTAAAAAACAGGATAAAATGGACATCATTTATGCACCGCGCGTCAAATTTGAGTGCTCAAGCTGGCCTCTCCACTGACCGGGTCCCAATCCGACGGATAAGCACGTGCCCGCCCTGGAGGAGACAGCACATCCCTCCCATAAATTTCACTATACACGGGTTGGAGGGGGCCTCAAAACGACACACACACCCGGATTTACTCGGAAAAATGGCATTGGACACACTAAAGACCTACCCGGCCGATTCCATCTACTGTTACACAGACGGGTCGGTCATGAAGGACTCCGTAAGAGCTGGGTATGGGGCCTATATCTGTTACCCAGAACACGAACTAGACAAGCCTCGCCACATGTAGCTTTGATGCAGAATTAACGAATTAACCAATACACTCAATTACCTGCTCCAAAAACTGCACGAAAAGATAACCGTTGCGACAACTGTTGTAATAGTTACCGATTCCCAGTCCTGCCTCCAAGCCATGGCTGGCTTAGGGGGAAAGTCCAAATTGGTGGAAGAGGCATTAGCCGCCGCAAATAACATCCGCCTATTTATTGGAGCTGTCATCTTTATGCAGTGGGTGCCCTTGCACTGCGGCGTGAGGGG